TTTTGGGGGGGGAAAAAAAAAAAAAAAAAAAAAAGCGACTGGGAGCCTTTGTGAGTTTTTGGGGGGGAAAAAACGTTTATTTGACTTCGAGTAAAGCTACAAACAAATACAAAAAAGCTTCTTGGCAAAGAACTACCAGGCTGCTAGACATGACAAATGCCATTTTTTACACAGAACACCGCATTCACTCTGCCCACTACCACCCGGCTATTACTCACGGCAGAAATATTTCTAATATTTACAAACATCAGAGCAACTCCAGCGTCCGTCTCCGGATTTTTTTTTTTTTTTTAAAATAATTTTCTTTTCCTTCTTTTTCTTTTTTTTTTTTTTTTTTTAATTATTAATTGTTGTTATTAGTTGTAGTATTATTTTTTATTTTTTTTTTTAATAGTGAAGTTCACCCACGTCTAAGAGAACGCCTCGGAATTAGGCTGGGATTAGAAATCCTGGCCTGGAGTTTGGACTAAAACACAGACTGGACAATTTTAAGACAGAAAGATATAAGAGTTGTTTCTTTTTTTTTTTTATCTTTTTCCTCTTTTTTTTTCCCCTCTTTTTCCCACTTTTTTCCATTTTTTAATTATTTTTTTTTATTTTTTTCTAAGCCTTTTATTTATAATTTTTTTCTGCGATTCTAGTGCAGGAACCCGCGATTTTCGCTTGGGCAGAGCAGAACTCACCCAAGAGTAAACTCAAAAAAAATAATAATAAAAAAAAAAAAAGGGTAGAGAAGGGGGGCAAAAAAAAAGAAAAAAGAAAGAAAAAGAAAAGAAAATCCCAACAAATAAACAAAGAACCGTATCTATTCTGGATTTATAAATAAGTTATAACATTCAAAGGGCTCACAGAACACACGCCAGCTTTCCAGAAAGCACCAAGAGATCACGGACACACACATTTAGAAGAACAACGAGAGCAGGAGGAGCATCTGGAAATAAAATTTAATTAATTTCTTTTTCTTTAAAACAAACAAACAAAAAATAAACAACACAACCTCCAAAAGAGAACACGACACGAGCTCAGTCCTGGGATAACCGACAGGAGCTGGGGGGGTTTTTTTTTAGGATAAAATCAACCACATGCCAAAAAGAAGGTGCCTCACTGTACAGTACTCGGAAACTAAAATCTGCGGCCATTTCTTTATTATTTATTCCATTTCTTTATTTATTTCATTCCTTTATTTATTTCATTCTTTTATTTATTTCATTCCTTTATGTATTTCATTCCTTTATGTATTTCATTTCTTTATTTCATTTCTTTATTTCATTCCTTTATTTCATTCCTTTATTTCATTTCTTTATTTCATTTCTTTATTTCATTTCTTTATTTCATTTCTTTATTTATTTCATTATTCGCTCTTTTTTTTTTCTTTTTTTTTTCTTTTTTTTTTTTCTTTTTTTTTTCCGTTGTGGGTTTTTTTTTTTATTTATTTTTTCCTCTCCCGTCTCCTCCTCCTCTTCCTCTTCTTCTTCATCTTCTTTATTTATATATTTTTTATTTCCCCCTTTTTTTTTATTATTATTATTATTATTATTTTCCGCTTTATTCCTGCCGGATTTTAGGGCTGAAATGCGCTGCCCGCCGAGGCCAAGCTCATGCTTTTCAGTTTATTATCCTTCTTCCACTTCATCCGCCGGTTCTGGAACCAGATTTTGATCTGGCGCTCGGAGAGGCAGAGAGCGTGAGCGATCTCTATTCTCCTCCTGCGGGTGAGATATCTATTGAAGTGGAATTCCTTTTCCAACTCCAGGGTCTGGTAGCGAGTGTACGCTGTCCTCGCCCTCTTCCCGTCTGGTCCTGTCATGTCTGGATAACACGGACAACAGCGGGGTTTGCGTTTGCTCTTTCTGCTCCCGTTTATTTCCATTTTTTTTTCTGATTTTTTAGTATTATTATTATTAATTTTAAAGGTATTTTTCGCCCCCCTCCTTTTCTTTTTTTCTTTTTTTTTTTTAAAAAAAAAATATTGGAAAGCAGCGAATTTCCCCCCAAATAACAGCCCCCCCCCCCCGCTTTTCCTCTCCTTTTCTCCCACCTCCCCCCTCCTCTCCTCCCTTGGCCCCTCCAGCCCCGACATCCCCGACTCGATATCCATAATTTAACTGCGGGAGCGAGCTCTGGGAATCTCTGCCCTGATTCTTTATTTATTATTTTTTATTTGTGGTTGTTCCCGAGGCTCCTGGAGGGTTTGATCTCGGTTTTAGCAGGAAAGCGGGAATTGAGCGGAGAGGGAAGCTCAGGGATGGGGGTGGCTCTTCCTCCCCGGGAATCTCCTGGCGATTGTTTCCTTTTTTTTTTTTTTTGGAGGGGGGGGGACACAGATTGTCAGGAATAAACCCAGAAAAGCAGAGCAGGACTGAGCTGCCAGCCCCATCTGTGCCTATAATTCCACTTTAATGCTCAATTCTTCCCTTTCCACCCTCCCCACCCCCAGGAACACCCCCCTGGCCTCGCTTTTTTTAAAATTACCTTTCCCCCACCACCCGCGAGGGGCTCGGAGCTTCCAAAAAAGCGCCGAGGGGAGCGAAACCGAAATAAAACCCCCCCAGAAAAGCAGAGGAAACCTCCCCCCCCTCCTCTACACCCCCTTTTCCAGAGGCAGCTTTAGGGCCAGAAATACAAAAGCAATAAATAGCTGCGATCCTCATCAAAGCGCCTCGGCGGAATAAAAGGAAGGAGAGAAGAGTGGGGGGAGGAAGGAAAAACAAAAATTAATTTTTTGAGGGGTTGGGGGAGAGAAAAAAAAGAGGGGAAAAAAAAAATAGAAACAGGAGAGGGGGAAAAAGAGGAGGAGGAGGAGGGGAGAATAAACAACGACAACGACGGGGGTGAAGAGGGGAGAGAGGGGAAAAAAAAAAAAAAAAAAAAAAAAAAGAAGTAGCTGTACCATGGCTAATGTGAAGTTTCCTCATCCAAGGGAATATCTGAGGTGCCTGCCCTTCTGTCGCTGCCGCCGAGGTGGCGATGGGCTCTGCCTGCGCTCGGGGGATGCTGCCGCTTATTGGAGTGCCCTCGTCGGCTCCCGAGGACGCGCTGGTCTCGTCTAGTTCTGTGAAATTTGTGCTGGTGGTGCTGGCGGCAGCAGGAGCTTGCTCGGAGGGGGACGGGGCGGGTTTGCCTCCATGGCTCTCGCTGTTGGAGCAGGGCAGGGAGTCGGGAGAAGATAAGGAGCAGCTGGACGCCTGTCTAAACCTCTCCTGAGCTGGAGAAGGGAAACCGCGGGAGCCCTCGGCCACAGCCCCAAAGTGACTGGAGGAGGCTGAGCGGTTGATGCTAAGGTCCATCCCATTGTAGTTGTAGCCATAAGAGCTGGAATGCATGGTGCTTGAATCTCTGTAAGAACCGTTCATGGAACTGCCGGTCCCATAATTTAGTAACTGATAGTCGGGGCCATTTGGGTAGCGCCCTGAGAACGAGTTTACAAAGTAAGAGCTCATTTGGGTTATTTTGGAGGGCTTGATTTGTGGCTCGTGGTCGTTATAACCCCCGTGCTTGACGATTTATGATGTATTAATGAATTATAGCGATGCACTGTACTTCGTTTTTGCTATGTATGCGGCCAAATATGGGGGGAGGGTGGGGGGTGCGTTTGGGCGTCACGTGCTTTTGTTGACCAGTCGTAAATTCTCACTGATGACCTCAAGAGGTAATTCATGCTCTATGGTTACAAATAATGACGAGCGCCGAGCCGCTTTAGGCCCAAAGTCGCCCCCAAATCCGCCGCCGCCATCGCCCCCCGCCTGGGCGGAGCGCGCCACCTGCCGGCCGCGCCAAAGCACCGCAGCATTTTGGGGAGACCCCCTCACCCCCCTCCCCCCCAAAAAATCCCATCCCCCACACAACCCCCCTCCCCCACCAAAAAATTAATAATCACCCCCTCTTTGCTCCGGTCCGCTTCGGTTTTCCCTCGAAAAGCAGAAAAAAAAAAAGGAGCGAGTGAAAGCGCGGTGCGGAGCTGCGGCAGGGAGGGTTCCGGGGCTCCGAGGGGGTTTTATGTTTTTGGGGAAAGTCTTTGGGTTTCCGGCGTTGGAAAAGCGGTGGAGAAGTTTGGGATGAGGTTTTGGGTGGCTGCGAGGCCTCTGTGGGTGGCTGGAGTCGGGAGTTGTGGTTTTTTTTGGGTGGTTCCTCCGCGGGTGTTGTCGCCAGGAAAGTCTCGAGGTCCCCTCCGCTCTCACCTTCAGTTCGGACAGGGAGGAAAAAAAAAAACTACCCTGGAGGGGGAAAAATGGGTGGGAAAAAGGAAAAGCAGGCAAAATCCGGCGGCTGGGAAGGGTTGACAAGGTTGTTTCTTTAGGATGTTCCTGTTGCTGAGCTTTTCCACCTCCTCTTTGCGCCGTTTTCCCTTCCCAGTTGTCGACCTGCAAGGAATATTTGGGGAGCAAAAGCTCCCTGAAACTGGGCAAAACGTTGGGAAAGAGCTGAGCTTTCCTTTTCTTTTATTCCTCTTTCCTTCTTCTTTTTCCTCTCTCTCCTTCTTTCCTTTTCTCTCCTTTTTTATCCTTTTTTTTAACATTTATTTCAATTTATTTTCTCCCCCCCCCCTCCTCTCCCTTTACCGAGGCACTTTAGGAATTTTCGTGTGCTCGTCTGCAACTCGTTGGGAATTATGCGCCATATTGAAAGTGACATATAATTATAATAATTACGGGCAATGAAAAGCGTGGCAATAATAGTAAATGTCCTACAGCTGTGAAGCTTCTGCATGAATTGATTTTAAAAGTGACTGACATTAAAACCGGCTCGTGGCGTTTCCCACCGAGGGGTTTCCAGGCACGAGATTTTTTTTTTTTTTCCCACCCCTCCTCTCTCTTCTCAAATTCCCCAATCCGGCCCTAAATCCCCGCAGAGGATTTAAAAACAAACCGAAAAAATTTAAAAATCGGGTTGTTTTTTGGTTTTTTTTTTTCGTTCTGCTGAATCCTAAAGCCGAGGGAAAGTTGGGTGTTTGGAGAGGAATTCCTCGGTGAGGAACTCGGAACCTCGTCCCATCCCCGGGCCAAGGAGCCGCTGGCAAAGAGAAAATCAAAATCCGCCCTTTCCAAAGAGCTTAATTCAGATTTTCCCCACTTTTTTTCCCCCCTCTTCTATCCCGGTTTAAACAGACGCTGAAATTCCTGCAGCTGAGAGATTTTTTTTTTCCGGGGTAAATTCATTGAAAATCTGAATTTTTAATATTTTTTTTTTTTTTTTAATTTTTAAAAAATTATTTTCTTTTTCCTGCTCCACATTTCTCTTTGATTTGGGGGCACGGAGCGAGGGGAGCAGATGTTTGAAAGATGCTGGGCAAATGTTAGGTATCTTGGGTGGATAAATGAGAGCGGAGTTTTGCCCGTTTCCTTGATTTATTACGGAGATGGGACGGCGTTTCCTCATAACTCTTTGTACTGTAACAATAAAAAATAAATAAAAAAATAAAAAACGGAGGAAAAAGAGCGGCGCTAATTCAGAAATGTCAGCCAGGAAATACCGAACAGCTTCCAGCGCAGATTGCAGCGGAATAAAAACCAAAATACAAGGGGGAAAATCAGATTTATCTGCCCCGCTTGGCTTGTCCTGGCAGAGGAGGAGATGTTGTCGCCCAGGGGGGAGCGAAAATTTCATTTCCAGCGCTCCTCTCCTCAAGAATCCCCCGGAAAAAGGGGAAAAATCCCCAAAAAAGCAGCGTTAATAATGACAGGGGAGGGGGTGAGCGGGTGGGATCGAAGACTTGGATTTTATTAGAGAATTCCATACCTAAGACAAACTCCAAACACAACACGTACAAAAAAAAAAAAATATTAATAAAATAGAACTTTCTGGCGCTGTTGCTCCTTTTCTTTTTCAATTTTTTTTTCCCATTTTTTTCCTGTTTGTTTGCAGTAGGTAGTACTCGTTCTTTCAGTAGGATTTTCCTTTTCAAAATAAAACTTAAAATAAAATAAAAAAAAATAAAAACCCATCCCAAAAAACTAATTACAAAGAACCCCAGGGCTTGATTAATTTACCAAAAAGTGTGGGGAAAAAAAATAAAAAATAAAAAAAAGAGGAAAATTTAAAAAGAAAAACCAACTTATGTCAACCGTGCATGAAACATTTTTACAAAATTAGGACAATAAACACCCCAAATGACAAATATTGCAGCACTTCCATTAAATACAAGAGTTAGCAGATTACTAACAGTGACACCAAGGGTAGGAACACGGCTGGGAGCCCCTTTTTTTTTTATATATTTTTCTCTTTTTTTCCATTTTTTTCCCCTTTTTTCTCTTTTCTTTCCCTCCTCTCCTTCTCCATCTCTTCACTTTTTAATTATTATTATTATTATTATTATTCCATTTCGTGTATGGGTGTGGAGCGGGAGGAAAAGGGAGGTGCAGGAAGGGAAAAGGAACTCAAAATTTGATTTTTTGGAGGTTTTTTTCCTGTTTGTTTCTGGACAAAATCATTGGGAATTCGAGTCCGGGGCATTTCTGGCCCAAACTTTGCTGCGGAGGCTTTTTCCTCCCAGCCATCCCTCACCCCCCTCCTCTAAAACTCCCTCCCTAAACTGAAATTTTTTTGTCGTTTCCTCCTCTCTTTTTGCTCGTTTTAAATAACTTTTATTCTCTTTTTTTCCCCTTTCTTCTCTCTTTTTTTTATGTTTCTTTTTTTTAATTTTTTAATTTTTTAATTTTTGATTTTTTTAAATTTTTTTATTTTTTAATTTTTTAAATTTTTAATTTTTTAATTTTGGAATTTTGGAATTTTGGAATTTTGGAATTTTGGAATTTTGGAACGTTGGAATTTTTAAACTTTTGAACTTTTGAATTTTTGAACTTTTGAATTTTAGGAAATTCTGAATTTTGGTATTTTGGAATTCTTGAACTTTTGAACTTTTGAATTTTTGAACTTTTGAATTTTTGAATTTCAGAACCTTTGAACTTTTGAACTTCCGAATTTCTGAACTTCTGAACTCCTGAATTTATTTTTTTTTTTAAAAAACGTCGAAATTTAGGACTATCCGGAATATCTACAACACCGAAAAATCTGATTTTTTTTATTTTTTTTTTTTTTTATTATTTTTCCAGCGGCGTTTCACTCCGCCGCTTTCTCCTCCTCCTCCTCTGCGCTGAGCTGCGAGGAGTTGAGCAGTTTGTTCTCCTTTTTCCACTTCATGCGGCGGTTCTGGAACCAGATTTTGATCTGGCGCTCGCTCAGGCACAGCGAGTGCGCGATCTCGATGCGGCGCCGCCGGGTCAGGTAGCGGTTGAAGTGGAATTCCTTCTCCAGCTCCAGGGTTTGGTACCGGGTGTAGGTCTGGCGGCCCCGGCGGCCGCTGGGCCCGAAGGAAGAACCTGCGACACCCGCGAGGAGAGAAATTAAATCATAATGATGGTGGTAATTGTAGTAATAGTAATAAAAATAGTGATTAAAATATGATTTTAAATAGTTTTAAAATAATAGTAGAAATAAGCCTAAAATGATCCTGAAATGATCCTGAAATGATCCTAAAATGACCCTAAAATGATCCTAAAATAATAATAGAAATAATCCAAAAATAATCCTAAAATGATCCTAAAATGATCCTAAAATAATAATAAAAATAATCCAAAAATAATCCTAAAATAATCCTAAAATAATCATAATATAATCCTAAAATAATCCAAAAAATAATCCTAAACTAATCATAATATAATCCTAAAATAATCCAAAAAATAATCCTAAAATAATCCTGAAATAATCCTAAAATAATCCTAAAATAATCCTACAATGATCCTAAAATAATCCTAAAATAATCCTAAAATAATCCAAAAAATAATCCAAAAAATAATCCTAAAATAATCCTAAAATAATCCTAATATAATCATAATATAATCATAAAAATAATCATAATACAATCAAAAAATAATCAAGAATAAAAATATTAATACAAATAATGATACAAATCATGATAAAATAAATAAAAAATATAATAAAATATAATAAAAGTAATAATTAAAAATAATAAAAATAATAATAAAAATACCAAGGGTAATACTAAGGATAATGATAAGGGTAATACTAAAGATAATACTCAAGATAATACTAAAGGTAATACTAAAGATAATACTGAAGATAGTACTAAAGATAATACTGAAGATAATAAAGATAATAATGAAAATAATAAAAATAATAATAAAAATAATAATGACAATAAGAATGGAAAAATAATGACAATAATCATAAAAATAATCATAAAAATAGTAATAAAAACAATAAAAATAACAATAAAAAATAACAATAAATCACCCCCAAAATTAAATATATATATATATATAAAAAAATAGGAAATAACTCGGGGAAAAAAAATAATGGGGGGAACCCCGAGGTTGATTTTTAGGGACGCTGCTCCTTCCCAAATCTTTTTTTTTTTTGGGAAGTCCTGGAGCTGCTGGAGCCGGGCAGGGGGGGGCTGAAGCCAGGAGTCAGATCCATCTTATTCCGGGATGAGGAATCGCAAGGTGTTCTCGCCACCCCCTCCCGGCCGAGCCGGAATAGATCGGGGCATTTAAGCAATAATGAAGTGAATCGATCTGCCCAAAGCCCGCATTAAAGAGGACACAACTCTCCGTGTCCCCGCGCTAATGGACATCAATTTGGACTTTAAAAGGCAACAAATGCATCTAAACACGGGAAAGGGTGGAGAACATTATTTTTTTCTTACCCCCCCCCCCATCCCCACCGACCTCTACTTATCCTTTTTTTATTATTATTATAATTCTGATGGAGGAAACAGCACTTAAAGAAAGTCGTAGATCACTTTTTAGTGAGGGGGGAAGAAATAAAAATTATAAATAAATAAGGAAAATCCTCCCCCCCGGGCTGACTTTTCATTAAGTGCGAGCGGCATTAAAAATGCAACCGCGTCTCCTTTCAAATATTTAAACAATTTTTACATCGGGGAGAGGGGAGAGAGGAGAGAGGGGGAGCTGCGGGTCGGGGCAGGGTGTGTAAAGTCATCCAGATCTGATTTAGAAAAGATATCTCCCTGTGCGTGTGGGGCAGGGACAGAGACAAATCGCTGTAGCTGAGTGACACGCGAACAGGAATGCGGCAAAAAGGGGGAAAAAAATGAAAAAGGGGGGAAAAAAATAAAAATAAAAGGCAAGGAGAGGGGGAAGAAATAAAGTTTCGGGGTTTAAAAGTTTTTTTTTTTTTCGCTAAGGGGCGCAGGGGGGAGGAAAGAACCTTGGAGCTGCGGGAAGTTTTGGGGCGTGTTTGGAGCCTCTCAAAGTTCCCCCGCTGGAAGTTTGGGCTCTAAAAGTGAATTTTCCTCCTGCTTCCCTCCCTCGCTCGCTCTCTCTCTCTCTCCCTGGCGCTAACAAAT